AAAAATTTCTAGAGATTCTGGCAGTTGCTTAGAAAGTCCGGTTCCGACCCGTAATTATCTGAAACGTCCTATATAGTGCCAAATGCTCTAATTTATACCTAATTTATATAAAACACCAAATTTTAGTATTTTAAATATAAAACTTTTTTATTTAAATGAATTTAGCCGTCATGGGTTTATAATTTGAAGAAAAATGTCAAAATTGAGAAAAATGACATTTTAGCATTTGGGCTTTAGTTTTTATTAAAAAATATATAGAGGGTGGGCTTGGGCCATCCCATGGCCGGCCCCTCCCCCTTTCCCTCCTTATTCACATATAAAAAGCCTCATTTCTTCATTTACAAGCCATTTGCATCCTTTCAAATTTAAACTTCATCTCCCTCTCTCTCCCAAAAACTCAAGGGTCACCTTGAAAATCATCTTCATCCTCCATTTTTTTTAGCTGAAAATATTCATTTTTTCTTCATCAAAATAGCAAGGATTTGAAGATACTACATCCCTCACATCAACAATCAAGGTAACATCTTCATCTCCCTCTTTCTTCTTGCAAATTTTGGGAGAAAAACCCACTTTTTATGCATTTCTATCTACTATCTTCYAACMTCCRAAAATTCTGAGTTTTAAGGAGAGATTACACACCAAAAACATGTAAAAATGTTCATATGATGGTGGTAATCTATGACCAAAACATTAGAACTCAAGAAGATAGGTAGAATCATGATTTTATGTGAGTTTGATTCTTAAAAATGGCATTTTTAGGTGCTGACAGATTATGTGCATGTACATAAATTGTCCATATCTTGAAAGTAATATGTTCAAATGTTATGAATCTTCTTCTAAAAGTTTATCTATTGAGTTGGGGTTGTAATCCAATTGGTCTCACACAAAAACATTGAGTTTTGACTCCCCAAATACTCAAAACATTATATATGAGCATCTGAGAGTTTTTCAGTAGGTAAACCCTACTTTAAACAGCCATAACTCTCTAGATAATCATTCAAAATCATTGATTTTTCTTCTAGAAGTTAACTTAATGAGTTACCTTTACAATTCCACTGATTTCATTCAAAAATGTGGTGATTTGAGGTTTTAACTACTCAAAACAAAGTGAGCATGCAATCTGTCCGAATCTGACAGATTTGTATAT